AGTACCATCTTGATCCAATTTGCTAAAAGATAAGATAATATAAGTGAAAATCGAAGGATTCCTTCTGGTAGAAATTTTGTATACAGGATATAAAAAAAAAATAAAAAAAATAAACACCATTGTAAAACCACTAGCTTTCTCGCTCCTTTCAGAATCTAAAATGAATAAAACCGTAAAATGTTGTAGCTATCGTCATCGAATTTAAGTTATGAACGATTTTTTTATGTTTATATCCACGCAAAAAAAAAGTATTTCATTGAAATATTAATTTGTTAACATATAATATTATTGTTAATATTATGATTTTGCTGATACTTAAATTACAATGGATTATTTGAAAACTATAATATTAAAATACTGAAAGATTATAATTAAAAATGTCACTAAATCTGTGTGAGCCAAACGGTGAACATAGCCCCAGTTTCTTTTACTCATCATATGCAACTGCTCCGAAAGAAAGTTTTAAACAATGCCGTTTGATGAGAATGAAAAACAAATTCAACACCCATTGGGACTTTGTAAAAGACAAACAACTTTTGAAGTAATTGAAATCAAGTTTTTTTTTCAGTGCTTCTGTGAGTTTTAATAATATTTTGAATTCGCATCTATTTTACCATTTGGTCCAATAGTCAAGGAAACAAAAACAAATAAAATTAAAAAAAAAAAATCAGAGTGAAAGTATTTTTTATAGGGGAATTGTTTTTTTTGTTGATAATTTAGTCTTTCTGGTATAGGTACCATAATATCTAATGTGCAATAATAAAAATCAGTAAATACTCATAAAATTAGATAACAGTTCATCAGGCAGCCTTTAGTAATTTAAATTATATATATTTAATGTGTACTTAAAATATTGCGAAGCTTAATAGGTTGCTTGTTTTTTTTTTTTTAAATTATGGTTCATATAATTTACATAATTATATACCTACCTTGTTTATTAAACACAATATACAAATTAGGTAATAAAATAATATATGTATAATTTTCTTCATATTTCATGCTTAGTTTATTTCATAATAATATGTGTTCTGCTGATGGTCAGTAAAAGTTGATTCAATTTCAATTTCCACATAATACAATAAATTTAGAAAATATTATTCCTTCTTGCCTCTAAAGTAATATAATATTCTACTATACTATATTATATAATTTAAATATATTGTTTTAATTAAATGTTTTATTATAAATGGGTATTGGATACATATATTTTAAAGAAATAATATTTTTAAAATGTATGAATAATTTGAGCTCAGCATTTGCAAAATAGATGGTTACATTGTCCTATATATTATAAGTAATAAAACTGATATATTAAAAATCAACAATCATGCACGAAGTAAGTAAGTTAGACCCTTGGTAGTTAGTTCAATATACTAAAATGTATTATTCATTAAAATCATCCATTATTAAGTCAGTTATATTAAAAAAAATATTATAGAATTATATTTTTTAATAATATGATATTTAATTACACTATTATAATATACCAAAAATATCATGAGAAAGTATAATGATTTTTGAATTCAAACAGTTTGTTCGTTTAGTTTGTAAAATGAAAATAATTTACCGTAATGCATTTAAAAACTAAAATACTTAAATTAAATGTTTTGGCTCTTTAGATAATTCAAATTATTATTGTCGTACACGTTGCGATTTACATTAAACACAATATTAAGTAATAGGTATATAGTAATTGAATTAGTGATGCAATTAAAATCTGAGCATTTGAAGCACTTAGTATGTAAAATTAATCACTTGATACTGCAGTTGAGCTTTCTAACTTGTTTAATGTCTCCATCACTTCAATTTGAGTTGACAAATTAAAATCTTTATAGCGGCCGTACTGTGAGTGGTTAATACTTATCTTTCTGCTTCTATACGAAAGAAAATATTGGATTTTAATTTTGTAATACACCCAAAGTAAACTTTAGATTTTTATATAGGGAGAATTTATTGACAATTTATCGTTTACCTCTTTTAGTATTTGCCATGTGATTTGTCGTACTTTTTCATATTGAATAAAAATGTAACTTTTATCGATAAATAAGTATTATTTACGTTATATATATTTATATTGAAAAAGTTCATTAAAATGAGGAAGTCACTTTGCAGTATAGTAGGTTTGGATGATGTACATCATCAATGAGTGTCAATATTTGTTTAATGTATTTGTGAAATAAAATAGAAACTAAATCATTGTTAAATCATTTCACTAGAAAAATGATTCCGAGCCGAAACATTGTGTTGATCTCTATTTCTAAGAACATTTTATAATTCATGACATTACCTATGTCCTATGCTATTATTTTTAATCATTTATTAAACAATACCGTTTAATCTTAGAACGGAATGAATACAATAGAGGATAAAATAGCTTAAAATAAGTTAAAATTTTTTGAAAATTAAATGTTTATTGAAATAATTATATACATAATCATAGCCTCAAAAAGTTTCAAGTCCCTACGATTAATACATTTTAATTACAAAAAAGTAACTACAATTGTTAGAAGAAAAAAAGGTATAAAATCTCATCAAAATGTTAACTTAGAAAAAAAAGTTCAACAAATTTTGCACAAATTTATTTACCAAGAACTATTTTATGTAGATTATAGTTTTAATTTAAATCTGTGCGAAATAGGCAATTTATTTATTTACGACATAATATTTGAAAAAGCTAAGAAAACTTATATTTGATATTCACTTTAAAAATTGAAAATTAAATACTGTAGAAATTACATTACTGTTGTAGAGTTGTTTTACATTTTACAAATTACAATTTAATCAGTTTCTATTCCTAAAATAATATGTCACGAAAACGTTAAAAAAAATAATGATAGGTACACTAATTGTTCAATGTGTATTATTATTATTTATTGTTTATAACAGAGATAATAATATTATTCACCTGGTCTTTCTTTTTATTACAATGAGCTGTAATTCTGTTAACTGGAACGGGCAATAATGGTTAATCCACAGACTTGTTCGCCACATCCATAAAAAAGCTACTATTATATAAGCCCGATTTCAGTTAGTAAATTGGCAATGAATCTCAAATAAGTAGTTTGACTAGAGATGTATATAAGTTTAGATAGTTTTCAATTGAAAATTGTTTTTCTTCATCGAAATGTTCAACTTTTTTTGTAAATTGTATTATGTTGTAGGTACGGTTGGTATGTTTGAATAGGTTTATTATTAAATTAGGAATTAAACGATTAAAAATTTGAACTAAATTAAAAATATATATTAATATATTATACATAGTTGTGACTTGTGGTATTGTGTTAGAACTATGTACATTGACATTTTTATAACTAATAACTATTTATAACAAGTAGTTAGTGTAAAACTGAGAAAACAGCTTAAACAATGAATGAAGAAAAATGGGAATTAATAAATGTAGGAAAACGTTTATACACTCGACATATTTTATACTGAAGTAAAATATAAAATGTTAAATAATAGATAAGAACTCACATTTATCGTTCGATAAATGTATTTTTATTTTAGATTTCCCATATTATTATGTTTAATAGAATAATATAAGAATGGGTATATGGTAATAAAAATACACAGTTTTAAATATAACTAAATAATTAATAGTAGTTATACGATTTTAAAAATTTTTAACTTTTTTAAAATGTATATCACAAGCATGTCTTCCAAGTGTTAGGAAGTTATGTGTATTTAAACACGAAGACTCACATTGAGGATGATGGAACTATAATAATATATTAACATGTATTAATTATCAACTAATGAATATACAAAATTATATATTTACATAGCAATTTAGGAAGTTACCCAGGTAGAAATTGCAAAATTAATTGATATGTCATATTTGATGTCCTAGCTTATCACTGGCTATCTTAAATAGTTGTGATTAAAATTAATGTAATAAAAAAATAAAGTTTGAAAAAAATAGGTTAGTGATAGTTGGTGGCTACGTGACGTGCAAAATAAGTTAAAAAAAAAATTGTATATTCTGTGCAAACAATTATTATTTAATAATAATTTAGTGTGTACAAACATATTTAAATTTAAATTTTTCTCTTTATTTTATATCAATATGATTTTTCGTTATTTTTTTGTAGAGCTTGAACATTTTTAAAAACTATGAGTTAGGTATCTAATAGAAAGTAAACAATAGTTTGTCGCTTGTCATTTAATCAGTTAACGTTTATGACATTTAAATATGAACCTATTGATGAAAACGAAACATGAAAAAGCGTGTATAAAGTTATATTTATAAATAAAAATAAACGTTGTAATAGTAATTCGTATGCGTTTCGTTGTGTTTCAGTTAACCTCAGATTAAAAATATCAAAATAGTGTAGGCAGGTAATCTATATAACTGTGATAGTATAGATGTTATAATTATTTTATACAATGCTGAATTTTTCATGGGGAGCACAATGCCGAAAAATATGGAATTTAAATATAAATATAATAATAATAACGGAACTAAAATTAATCTTATGAGATTTGTATTTCAAGCATTGCCTGTTTCTGGCTGTATATTTTTGGTGACTTGATTTATGCTTAATCTCATGCATATTATTTCCCGATGTTCTATGTAATTTGTACAGTTTATAAAAACTACCAACACTGAGATAGGCTAGGGCTTTGCAGTTGGAACACGAATATTATTAAAAATTAAAACTTCAACTTTTATAGGAATGAAAAGTGAACTTTTTTCTAAAACTAAAAATCACCAAGAGATTGAAAAATTAAAATGATTAAAATGATTTGGACTTTCGATGATTTAATCAATTTATTTGTTAAGTATTTGTTAAACATGATATTCCAACATTTAGGCGAAGCAACGTCTATTATGCCTCAAACCCAAATCCACCGCTGTGTTTATATAGAATATAAATAAATTCAATTTAAATAATATTTTCTCGGTGTGTTGCGATGTTACTAATATAGTTCGTTTTAAAACGTCAATTGTTTCATTCATTATTTATATAGTACAGTGGGGTAAAAAGTATTTATCTAAAATGGAACTCGACAGAAGTCCGACAAGTTTAGATATGATGGTTGCTATGGGTAACAAGGTCGAAGTTATTCACCTGAATAAGGCGCAGGATAATGGTTACAGAGGTGTCATTATACAATGTCACATTTATTCATGGAAAATGTCCATGAGAAAAAAGTCAAGTTATCACGGTAACTTTGTGTTTGTTTTCCTATGCATGGGAAATATTTTTTTTACAACTTGGTCAATACCGTCTGTACTGACTACTGATCGACGTTAAACGATTTTTTCAGTATTCGTATTGAACCGGCCGATAATACTTTCCAAGTTCTTTTCCAACTACTAAATAGTTGTGAATTGTGAAAAAAAAACTGTATTTTTATGTCACGAAAGTGGTTTATAACGGTTAAAAAAAAAATAATCTAAAAACGATATGCGAGTATGATATTATATTATTATGGTGTTAATACGTAATAATATTATCATACAGTTACACGTATGGTCCAATACCGTCTAACCATGGCATAGGTACCTCTACTCAATATACCACTCATCTGACGTGAAATTTCCGATTGCGATACTTCATAATATTATCATGGAGAAATATGGAAGCAGAAAGATAGTTATTATCTCTCACTTTTTTTTTGTTTTCGATTGATTATTTTGTATGTTCGGTTAACAACATTTCACGCCATGCACATACGTATTATGTCGTAATAAATGCATGTTTCTCGCATACGACACCACAATCACCAGCAACTCAAAAATTGTTTTTTCGTGTGGGATCTCAGTCTAAGTATAAATGCTACTTACATGGTTCTCGAAATATTGCAGTTGTGTAGGTATATTATATTTTAATGATATGTCTCGTGATATACGGTAGGTATATCGTTTTTGTAATATTGTGTGTAAAATATATTATTATAATATTGTGTCGTGTGCATTTGACATCGTGCAAAATATTTAAACTCGATTTTCTTCGAACGCGGTGTTTTGAGTAACTTCACTTTACCTCTTTGGGTGAGCAGTGTGATGAAGTTGCAGACGGCGGGTAGGCGGTGAAAAGTCACTAACTACGAACCCGCCACAGGGCAGGTGGGTGTATCGCCACGTTCGTCTCTCGCGCGCGTAGGTGTAACAATAATAAATTATGATGCTCGTACGATATCGCACCGCTGAAGCGAACACGACTTGTGTTTTGTGACGTGCAGGTATACGTATGCCACGAGGTGGCCATACGCGAGCAGTGTCGAAGGTGAGGCGTGACAACCGACTTTGTTTATTATAATATATTATAACACGTGCCACCGTATCTCATAATACACCGGGACCGTATAAATAAGTTATGTGCGACCGTGACTGCGGTATAACCTGAAGCTGTAATACGTACAATGTTGGTGGATAGATGCGGCATATGTCGTCGTAACGTACACTCGCTACAGACACTAAGCGATATATTTCGCTGAATAACGGTTATATTAAATAACTCATTATAGGTATGTGTGTGTGTGTGTGTGTAAGAATATCGGGGGTTGTAGAATTGTATGATGTTTGATTAAGTAAACTGGATAAAATTACATGACGTACTACAATTTTATTTAATAGTAATATTACAACTTAATAAATCGGATGGAAAATCGGATTCAGCTTACTACCTACGACTTTATCGAGGGGCATTTGAAAAAAGGTTAAAAATCGTGTTGTCTCGACTAATTTTCTCGAAAGCAGAAATGTAAAAATACTAGTGGACGCCTTACGAGCAATGGGACATTTTCAACTGACATTTCGCGTGGGAAATAAATGTTATAATACATAAATATATATAGAAATGTTTTTGCAAAACGTTAATATAAAATGTGAAAATAAATAATTTAGAACAATAATGAATAATATTGGCCTAGACTGCTTGGTGCACGTATTATACATATATATATATATGTATTATAATCGGACGAACACGAAAGCAGCAGTGATTTAGGATAACAGTTAAACAAAGTTTTATTTGAATTTGTCCCGTTTCTTTTGACTCGAATTTCATTCGCATTACATTCCAAAGTTTTGCGCGCGGTAAGAGGATTCGTCGCCCGATTCTATATTATAAGGATTTACCGTTAATCTGGGATTGCGAAAACCATCCTTGTTCCCTGCCCCGTCGTCCTCTATCAACTATCCTGTTCCGAGGCATTCACCGCTCGACTTTATCGTGTACAATAATATATCCTCGCCGAAGGAACGACTCAAGACAGACGTTTTCTAACGAGGTTTTATTGGCCTCCCCAAAATAAATCCAATGCGTATATAGTAGGTATACAACACGGTTTATCCACATCGTAATTGTAGCGCGTTTGCATTTTGTCCCGAGCCTCTGACAAGTGGACCAAGTTTAAATTGGATTTAATGAATAAAAACCTGTATTACTATAGTAATTATTGTTGTTTGCACATTTGAACTTTACCTCCTACCTAACCCTTCCAACAATACATTCGTATATATGCCGAATAATCATGATTTTTCCTTGGATCGGTTTTTACGATAAGAAAATATAAATATAAGAAAAGTGTATTTCATTTGGCTGAATCGGCGAAAATAAATCGAATAATATATGAATATATATATTCCTTTTTTTATTTTATTATCAAAAATCGCATTGTGTTTTTCCGCTTTTTGATTTTTTTTTTTCCAATCCGTGACGAACCTATTTTATCAATACAATTGACACGATGTCCTCTCTGAAATCTAAGGGGCTTGTGATTTTGACTATATTTTACAAGACTTCTGAGAGATACTTTATACATCATAAATCACAATAATGTATCCAAACCTTAGACTCAAAATTAGTTGTTTCATTTGATAGAAAACCTCAAAAGAAGCATTGATGTATTATTAAAAATGTTTTATTGATATATAAAATTAAACATAAAATTCTGGCTCTTTTAGAAAATAAATTTTTTTTTTTATTTACTATCAATCAATTTAAAAAATCTTTTATATCTTCATAAATTTGACTTCTATAAATTTTAGTTTGTTTTAAGTTTAATAATACTACTTACTTATATATAAATCGATATCATCGTATAATATTATTACTAGCAAACAGTATAAAAAAACGAAAATTTAAAATTAAAAAAATAATATAATTGTACATAACACGGTAAATGTATCAAGTTTAAGTAAAACTTGGAAAATGTGTTTCATAATAATGTTCAATAATATTTATTAGATAACCATAATTTGATATTAAAATAAACCAACTAGGTAGTTATATACGGTGGTTGATTTGTCTAATGATTTAAATAAATTAAGGAGTGTCTAACCTAAACTTAATGTTCAACACAGAACAACAGTCACTGGTAGTTGAGTGATTTATTTCCATTCGTATAAAATATGGTTCACTTCATCTACAACAGTAATCTATACGGATGAATCTTGTCTAACTTTGAGTCAATACGAAAGCTTTGGTATAATAATTTAAACATCTAGGTACATTGAATTTCAGCAATAGAATTTAAAAGTGCCATACAGGAATATATACAAAACGGTACCAAAAAAAGTTATTGTGTGGTCCATTAAATTCTTCCACTTCAGGGGTGTACCTCAAATTGAATAATATCTCAAATTTGAAAACTTTTTAAAATGGACTACCCGCCAAATCAATTTTCGATAGCGGCAACCTATTATTACTAAACTTTAGATAACAATACAAAACGATATAACAGAATTAATGCAAGAAGAGAGAAGTCTTTAAATAAGAGCTCATGTTCATGATTTATAATATTATATATAATATTATATTCAGTCATAGAAATTTAAAATTTTGTTAGTGTTGCTCAGAAATATTATTTTTAAATCTTATTGACTTAAATTAAAATGAAACATTAATATTAAATAGTTGTGTATCATGTAAATAAACTATACATATACATATTATACATATTAAATAAATACAGTGAAACCTTCCCTAACTAAAAATCTATAATAGTAATAGCGAACATCTCCAAATAACGGACGTTTTTTAGAAACAAATTACAAACATTCTACAAAGTGAACTCCCTGAATAATGGATATCTCCGAATAGCAGACAGCATTTCAGTTACTGAGTGTGTCTGGTATTTAGAGGTTTCAATGTCTAAAATAAATATTATTTTCTTTTCACCGGTTATCAGAATTTAATGAAGAGTTTATTAGGTCTTATATTGTATTTTTGTTTTAAATTTATAATACATATTTAATTTCTTTTTTTTTACTTGCACCAATTATAATGTATTTTACGTACCGTATTATAATAATAATATAGCTCACAATATTCATAGTAGTTTAAATCGGTTTTCCTAGTCCCGTCCACCTACATAGATATGTACTAATTTTGCCTATACAAGACGCCGTCTTACTTTTACAATAATTTAGTATTATTATTCTTATACTTTTCGTCAACATCTGATTGTTGAAAATTAATGTCATATAATGTTTATTTAAATAAGTGTACGAAACAATGCATACAATGTGCCATTGAACATTATTCAGTAGGAATGTATTTCTGAAACTTGGTATGTCCGTTATAATGAAATAATTTAGCTATACACATGTTGCGTGGCATTTAAACGTAGAGTGTCACAGAGGGCTAAACATTGTTTTATCTTTCACAATTATTATTATTCCTTAAATTTGAAAAAATATCAATATATTAAGCTGATGATGTCATTGTCTTAAATTTTTCAAAACAATATAATATAAATTATTGTATATTCGCTTAAAAGTTATAATTTAATAACAATTTTAAAATAAAAAGAAATAAACAATACTCTCATATAATATTTACAAAAATAATTTTAAATGTATTATAATATGTATTGAAACATGTATAACATTTATAACATGTATTGAAATATACATGTGCATGATTATTAATAATAGTGTTCGTAATGAATTACTGTTTTCGTGGACATACATTAACTAATCATATTTAGGAAATATTATGTGGGTTTTTGCAAGTAAAAATTAGTGTAAATATATATTTATGTTAAACTGATGACTAGTAAGTTATATTATTGGAATACATATATTTTGTAATACACGTTTTAAAAATATAAATTTACAATGTATTGATTAATTAACCTTGTATTTTTTTAAGAACTGTATAAACACAATGTGTGTATAATGTCATTATATGAATAATTAATATATTACGGTGAAAAAAATCTGTACTTGTCAACTGCAGATTACTAACAAATATCATACCTATTGCTATTAATTAATGAAAAAAAAAAACAGTTTTCACAGATT